CGTGAGACTATGATCGAGAGGCTGGAGTGAGTAAGTGAGTGAAAGAGTGAAAGCAAGTGAATAAGTGAGTGGCTCCATTCTACATGAGAGAACTGGTCCCAGTGGTGACGAGGCTCTCGCTCACTGCTCTGACCTGGTCAGACTCCATGTGCTCTCCCTTTCGATTCGATGAACCCACTGTTTCATCTCCATCCCCCACCTTGAATTGATTGAGCTGTGTAAGCGTGTATGTGTATATGTGTGTTGGTTTTTATTTATTTATATGTTATTGGAGAAAAAACGCGATGAAACCAATAAATAAAAGAACCATGTCAGTGGGCATCAATGTAGCTTCCGAATGGGATCATGCCCCCTCTTCCCTCACGTTCCGTCATGTGGGCTGCGGTGACAGAGGGTCTTAACACTCTCGTCAGGGGTTCAGGAATCGAGACAGGTTGCACGTTCGCTAGGAATCGGATGCAGTGATTGGTGGAACCGTTTGGAAAATATATATGAGGTGCGTTGATTAAGAATTGATTAAAACTTTTTGGGGCTGCCATCCCGGTTTGGGTAGATCAGGGGTTAAGTACTAGGAATCCCCAAAGCAACTGGCAGAGACTGCAGGTCACGCACACGCTCGTCGCTCTCGATCCGATCAGGAGTCAGATCAGCTGTACCAGTTTGCCGGCCGGGGTATGAGTACCTTGCCTACGCTAATTCAGCTGCCAAAAATTCTTCGTACGTGTAGAAAGACTGAATCTCGAAGTCGAAAAAGGTAGTTATACTGCACTAGATACGTGCACTCGGTGTCCGCAACTGCACCATGGAGATCGATCTGGTGCAACCGAATTATAATGCACAGCTTTGGAGGAGGCGACAAGAGAATCGCAACGCCGTCGTCATTGGGCAATTAATATATATTGTACGAAAGAATGAGTGCGAGGCGAATCTTTTGCTGGCCACCGAGAAGGCTAGGGGGACTACAGTATTGTTTTGTTTTGTATTCTTCTTTTTCTTCCAACCAGCTAGACCACTTCAGAAAGAGAGAGAGAGAGAGTACTATCCCCATAATCAGTGTCGGTGAGACCGCCAAAAGCCGGCCCCGGTGACTAGTCGGTGCTGGACGCGCATGAGAGGCCCGGATTGGCCATCACGGGGACGGAATGAGTGGTAGGGTGGGGCGCAATGTTGAGCATGCCGCGTAAATTAACGTATTCAAATGATGCTGTGCAAGGGCAAAGGACCGGTGGCGATCTGCCGAGCAACATCGATGCTAACTTTGACGGAGATGGGTGGGGGGAGTGCTCTCCCGTACTTTCATCCAATTGCAACCCCCACCTCGTGATGGTGTCATATTGGAAGGAGTAGACGATGAAGAAGAAGAATTGATGATTTTTCTCCCCCTATTTTGGCCCCCAGGGTCGCAGCTTTGGGAAGCCCGGGTGAAACTTGTCCCCGGTGTCTTGGAGAGGGCGACTTAAAAACCAAATACTGTATCTTGACGTTGCGTGTCCTTGTCTCGCTTTTGGTGAGGGTAGCAGGGGTTGGAGCTTCATAATGCACGGACAGACGAGCGGCTAGCGATGCAAGCGCACGATAAAGCGGGGGTTGTTGATTGTAAATGTGTACTCCCGTAGCTTTTGGATAACATCACCTCTTCACCAGGGTGACGCGGGCATTAAGCTTTTCTTTTTCAGCTCTCCGGGAATTGTCAGTTCGTGCGTTGGCGTTTTGCACTGAGGCTCTGACAGATTCCATACCTGCAGTGAAAGGTTTCGATAGCTGTGTGTTTCATCATAGGTGTTTGAGAAATTGCAGAAATTGGTGCAGTTGGGAATCATCGGGTGGATGAATACGACAGGGTCGGTGTGAACGTCGAACAAGCAGCGGGTGAGCATGCTTCTTGCCTTGGACTTGCCACTCAAGTCCATTGAGCGCTTTTTGGAAGCATTGTTTAGACGATCGGTTCACTTTGTGCTAAAAAAAGAAAAAAAAAAAAGAAAAAAAAAAGAAAGGAAAAACATGGGCTGCTTACCTCAAGTTTTATGCTGTCAGGTTCACGAGTGAGCAGCCCTCCTGATTCCAGACCTTTTTTGTGACCATTAACTCAGTCAAACCCTGGTTCTGAACACCCGCATTGTTCGCATTCCGCAACTGATATGTCGATGCCTCCTCAAAGAATGCCAACCATGATTTATGAGGCAAGTGTGATGTCAAGGTCGAGGAGTGTGCAGCTGATGGAGACCACTCCTCAGAAACCAGAGACTGGCTGGCTGATGCAAACCTGTGAAGATTACCGTCATAGGTCACTGTTGACGATGGGGTTGCCAAATAATCATGTGTGTGATCTGCATCGGCCGTTCAATTTACATTTTACGAAAGTGAATGTTAGAAAAGTGCCAGCAAAGCCAAAAAAAAAAAAAAAAGTGAAAACGTGTACCGAATGCCCAATATCAAACCTCCACGAGACGCTCATTTTTTATCCGCCGCAAACTGGATTCATTCTTGTCCAAACCCACGTAATTTAAACACGGGTTTTTTCCCTTTTCATGTCTATTAAAATAATTATGATTGGCAGCATTTCCAAATTAGGAATGTCCCTCAGCCAGGACAGCTACAGTATTTTCTTTTGTTTTATTCTTTTTTGTGTTTAGAGTTAAAATTCGAGCATTTACTGCTGGCTTTATTGTAGAGAATTTTCGCTGGCCAGCAGAAGTACAAAAGATCTACTTAGGGAATTATCTGTTCCCCGAGTGCACGTTTGATACCTGTCTTGTCAGAATCCCCCTCCACAAACATACCTCAAGAAGGATAATATGAAGTCATGAGAGCATGATGGTGTCGCAGAATCTCACATCTACAAATTTAATTTGCACTTCTCCGATTTAAACATGTGCCACCCGAGACTAGCACTGAAACTTGCTGTTTGGCTGACCTGGTAATGCTGGTAATGCACGACTTATGATAATAATTTACACAGCAAGAAGCTTGCTTACTCGAAACCAGAACTAAAGTAACCTCTCTCTGTGACTGCAACCCTGCAATAAAGCAAAATTTAAGGCGAGGATGCGTTGTCCATAAACACGTGTACTGCCGTTTGGAATCTCTTTTTTCCCACCAGATCAACCTCTGCCTCACATGAGATATCACTTAGAATCTAGAAAAATGCCGTGGTAATCTGGCGGTTCAAGTCAATGAAGCTTATTACCGCTGATATGAATTCGGCAGCGAAGAAACAAGGAACATCAATCTTTTTCCTTGTGATGCAACTAGAAGTTGTGCTTAAAGGTGCCTGCAGTTGATGCAACTTGTAGCCTTCTGTCGATTCAACCCCCACAAAATAAACCCGAGGTAGAGTGTTGGTACTTCGTAGGGACCCCAACAACACTCAAAGCAGAACCAATAAAGATAATAAATCCCTTTCCAAAAAGCTGGGGAGGGAGATCTCTCTGGATCCCACCACTCGTTCGATCGGTAACACTATGGAATACTCATATTATTGACACACACACACACTGAGGGTCCCATTTGGGGTTCAGTATTTCTGTGCTGAATTCACTGATTTTCTTAATATTTGACAAAAAGGTACTGCGTGGAGCAGAGTGTAACATAACGAATAACCAAATTCAAACACTTACGAGAAAGCGAGAGAGAGAGAGCTTGTGTCTTTTCCCAGCAGTCTCCCTTTGCGCCAATCCCTCTGCGTCGACATTTCACCCAACAAGAAGCCTCTGAGTGGCCACCTACAAATTTAAAGAAATGGAAACGCCCCCAACTCGTCAAACGGCACCGTTGGCGATAATGTTGCACCGATGGCCACCTCGTGATCATATATATGAACAACTGAAATTCTCCCCTAAATTGATTATAATTCTGTTGGAAGCATCCAAGCATCGAACCAAGCCTAGTGAATGTATGTGAGGGGTATAAGTATTTTTAACCGCGTGGAGTTGAAAACCTAGGCTGTCTTGGAAAGTGGGTACACCACCTTGTTTGCTGTGGCAGTGGTGACCCGGTAAGCAATCGCGACCGTCGTGAGGCGATGTCTTGATGTTTGGCTTTGCTTTTCCTTTTCGTGTTGGTTATCTCCAAAATCCTCTGCTACGGAAGCTTCGCTGGGATGGAACAGCTGGATGGGACCCAGACTCGTCCGAACTGGGGACCCATGCCTGCAAAGTAGCGAAATAATAATAATAATAATAATTAAAAATAAATAAAATTAAAAAAAACACATTTTACAGGTTTCAAACTTGGTAATCACACAAGGGGAATGCGGTCAACCAAGAAAAACAATTTGAGTTTTACCATGTAAAACTGTTGCAAACGAGGTAACAGTTCTCACTGGAAGCATTGCGGGTATTGATAGCTTAATCTTAGAGCACTGATCTTCATCACTTCCTTTCAGTGAAGTGGAGGTTTGAACTTGCCGTTATTCTGGATTACGGTCATGGTCGTAACCCTTGAGTGGCAACAAGAGCTGCAAAGCCAATGTTGATTAATGTTTATGCTGTTGGTTTTTGTCTAAGTTTACGCCAAGTAACGCTCTATGGGAAGAATGTTTCGCTATTCGCACAGCAAATAATTGCAAGAGGCAGTAGGTGCTTCACAGGTGCATGACTATTGTTTGTAGATTATCTTAATGAATATCTTTAAGAAACATATATATGTATATATATATATATATATATATATATAATGTTTTTCTATATTGGTACATGAAATATGCGGAGGTCTGTTTTTCCTTCACCTCTTGGATTCGGTGTTGGATGTAGAACACGAATGACCAGACGCTGCAAGAAGACACCAAGTAATTGATAAATAATTAATAAACTATCATAATTACAAACAGTAGACTTAAAATTCGGAGTGGAATCATGTGCTTGTGTGACCAACTAGGTTAAAAGCCCAGTATTAAGCTTCAACAAAACCAGATGATGAAGAATTGGTCGGACTTACCAGGGGGTCTACATCCCGCAAGAGTCCGGCATACGGGTCTAGACCGGCTTTGTCCGGTAGCGGCTTCCTCGCTAATCGTCTATGTCTGCGTCATGCTGCAGCATTGACTTGCTTGAATCTCTTCCAGATGATGGCGCAACCGACCAGAGGCCTCCGTGGACAATCCCGGTTCAGCGTCTTTGCGATTTCCAAGTGCATAAATGACAATCCTGGGGTGAAACATCGCCTCAGTCTAATGCCAGTGAGCCCGTCAGCTTTTCTTCAATTCTGCTGGAGCTGGTGTTTGCCATGCACGCATTGGCGAAAGCCCTGTGGAAGATTGTTATCGTCTGTGTTCATCGGTGGGTGAGAGCCGGGAGAGAGAGTGCGAGAGTTAGCGGAGAGGGAGAGGTTGAGGTGTCCTTTGGTTCACCTCCAAACTATGGATGGAGGTGCAGATTAGTGCTGAGTGAATGATCTGGTCTCAGGTACAGAGGACATGTTTGATTGACGATGAGCTTGGGGTTTAAAGGATTGAGGTGATAGATCGACAAGGCTAGTTATGTCTGTGGCGATGGCGGCGACAAGTTTGGGTAGCTTTGGAGGGCAAAATGTGATACTTGTGCGGAACGACATGAGGGGGTCGGATTCGATGCTGGCGATGCTCACGAGCTGTAATCCCGTCTTGGGCTTTCAAGGTGAGTTTGCAATGGCGATCGTTAGGGATCCTTGTGGTCCGATCAGGGTCGTTAGTTTGGGGGTTCTTCTTTGCTGTGGTGATCGGGTGTGGGGAAATGAGGATTGCCGTGGAATCGGTGTCTACTCCTGGCTGGCAAAGTGTTTGATTGAGGATGTTTTCTCTGTGGTCATTTCTGCAGTTCCGAGATCGGGTGGAGGGTTGGAAGACGCAATTGCAGGGTGCGGGCAGAAGCGCCTGTTTTATCCCACATTCGAAAACTCCCCTGTGGAGGAGACGGAGGATGGGGACGACGGCGGCGACGAGGGTCGCGTAGAGAAGAAGCGCAGACTCACATTCGATCAAGTGCGATCCCTCGAGCGAAACTTCGAAATGGAGAACAAGCTCGAGCCCGAGCGGAAAATGCAGCTGGCCAAGGAGCTGGGGCTGCAGCCCCGCCAAGTAGCGGTCTGGTTCCAGAACCGGCGCGCGAGGTGGAAGACGAAACAGCTTGAGCGCGACTACGAAGTACTAAACTCTGGTTACCTGAAACTTAAGGTGGAGTTCGAGACGGCTCTTCGGGAGAAGGATTTCCTCAAGGCTGAGGTGAGAATTCAAAACCCATTCCACAGTGTCTTGAAATCCTCACAGTTTCTAAGTCCTGCCAGCGGGCTTGTTGTAGTCGATCGAACCTCCTTAATCCCTTTGCTCTTTGTCCATGATCCCCCAGGTGCAACGCCTCTCAGGCAAGACCAGCTCCCAAGACTCCCAGGGCTGCCAGTCACCGGCCGACCCGTCACAATGTGAGAGCGAGACAACGTGCTCGGACAAGACGAAACCAGATATCGCGGTGTCGTTGAAAGATCACTACGCGCGATCTTCCCAAACTGTCGACGTCGTCTCCTCCGCGCACAAGCTCACGAATGGCGACTCTAAGGAGATGTCCACGAGCTCCGGCAGCAACTCCAGCGACCTGCTGGACACGGACAGCACCAGGGTCTCCGACAGTTGCTATTTGTCCAGAATTCAAGACGAGCAATTGGCGGGTTACAGCAGCAACCAGCTTCCTCCCGAAAGCTTTGTGGGGCCCAACCTGCTCCACGGTGACGATGCCGAGCCTTTCTGCGGCCGGGACGTTGCACAGCAAGTCAATTTCCCGGTGAAGCTCGAAGACGCCTCCCACTTCCAAATGCCCGACATCCCGAATTGCATCTACTTTTTGCCGCAAATTGTTTCTGAGCAGAGCGTACTTCCCTGGTGGGATTGGCCGTAAGCAAGCATTCGCTACACCATCGATTTCCTTGTACATATCCTGCTCTTTTCCCCCACTAGCCTCGCCTACAAACAAGGCTCTCTGCATGATTATCTCGTCGATTGAGCGCACCAAGTCCAACCTTGGATTCTGAGACGCTTGTGTGACATACATGCCGTTTTCAAAGACCAAACTCAAGCTGTAGACGAAAGAGCTAGTACCGAACAATTTTTTTTTTGTTTTTTTATTTTATTTTATTTTATTCGCTTTATTTTGGGGCGGGCAGAGGAGATGAGACTAGACTAGACGGATAAGACTCGGTCTTGCTGATGCATATCTCATTTTGTCGAATTTTCCTTAATGAGTGAGGGCAAAATGGGTGTAAGCATCAGTGCTTTGCAGAAGAAGACCCCAGTAACCACACTTTACAATGGGCAAACATTGGAATGGTTGGTAGTATTGGTTGTAAATGTACTGGACAAAAACAGCAGCAACTCGGGGCCCCTTTCGTCCCTGATGAAAGATCCGATCCGTTTGGAGAAGTGACTTGCGATCGACATATTGTGTTCATGTCGAAGTTCTCGATGACCTTATTAATTTGAACTACGTTGGTAGTAGTAGCGACGTTGCATATATACATCTCTCTCTCGCTCTCGCTCACTCTCTCTCCCCATCTCCCTTGATTCCTCTGTCACCCAACTATTTGTACATGACTCATGTTTATCATTTCAATATCTCTTGAAGTAGCAACAGTTCATGACCCATCACTGTTCTCCCCCTTTACAAAAAAAAACCATGAAACACCTTCACATGTCACAGCAACAGTTCAAAACAAACGCCAGCATGAGAGAGCCAGCGTTTCATGACTGTCGATGAGCTTCCACCGTCTTTCTCATTCACAGTGTTCTGTTCTGTTGTTGTGAGTGAAACCTTCCAAAATGCTATTTGAGCAGTACTATCTGAGCTATTTTCTTTCAGTATTCAATTTTTTTAGAATGTGTTTTGTCTTAGATGAGAATGTGGCAAAACCTTTGGAGTGTGTTGAAACACAACTGTTGAGTTTTGTTAGGACATTTTATTAGAATGCAATTCTGTTGTGTTTAAATTGTGATCCAATCTATTGAATTCAACAATAATACCACATGTAGTTCATTGAAGACATTATGTTGTATCGATCAATATGCCAACACTACAAAATGTAAATCAATCTTGTTGTTTGTACACAAAGTTACACAATTTGAGTTTAGTATTTCAAAATAAGTTTATAGCTACATGTTTAAATGGTTTCACTTTTGCTTTTCAAAGTTGGTGGATTCTGCAGCTCAAACAACATTCTAAGAAGTGCAAATATGGACTTGAAACTTTTGCATTTATAGTGCACCCACACAATTTATCTCAGATTGATTTCAACCAAATTAATTAGTGGCATTTAAGTAAATTATGATTTTTGCAACTATATTGTGTTACAAGAAATTATACCACACAAATAATGCAGCTATATCTTTTAGTGTCTACAAAATATCTACAAAATTTTGATTAAAGCAATGGCTACTAGTTCCATACCTTTACAAACACAAGTTAAATGATAATTAAAAAAAATCATCTAACGTCATATATTTAAATATATACACACATTTGTATATACATTTGTACATACATTGGTATATATACACACATGGATGTGACTAAAAGTAATAGCCATACTTAAAAGACATTACACATTGGGAAAAAAATTGAATTTCAAAAAGCTTGTGATATAACTATTAATAAACATGAGTAAAACATCAATAGAGGGAAGATCTGATTATAATTTTAAATCCAATTCATTGATTATAAAATGTGATTTATTGTTTATGTCTACCTTTTCCACGTAAGCAAAGTCTCCATGAATTAACAAAACCTTTGTTGCATGCATCGCAAAGTCATGTTTTGCATTATTGGACAAACTAGATTTTTCTTTTTCTTAACATAAACAAAACCTTCAAATTATATTTTGCATTACTGGACAAACTAGATTTTTCTTTTTCTTAACATAAACAAAACCTTCAAATTATATTTTGCATTACTGGACAAACTAGATTTTTCTTTTTCTTAACATAAACAAAACCTTCAAATTATATTTTGCATTACTGGACAAACTAGATTTTTCTTTTTCTTAACATAAACAAAACCTTCAAATTACAGTTGGTTTTTTAGTTTTTATGATTTTTTTAAATATTATATACACTCATTAAATAGAATTTCAATGACAAAAATAATTAAATATAATTTTTTTGAAATTAGTGCTACAAGTAGTAGTGACAACAATGACTCTCACTCTCAAAAGATTACCACTATATTGATCTTCATTATTTTCAATGTCATAAGAATATATATATTATACTTTTTTTCTTTTTTCTTTTTTTACTTTTTTTGCACTTCAAATCTTCGTCAAAAACCGATGCTTGTCTTATTTCTTCCATCAATAAGACCAAAATAATTAACAAAAACACCAAAAACACAAGATAAAATAATATTAGCAATCAGCATGATAAGGTTTTATCAAAACACCCCAATGCGTAGCCAATAGCCAAAAACTAAAACTATAAAGCACAATATATAAATAAAATGTTACATTTTGTGAGTGAATTCGTCTTCCTTCTAGAAGAAGAGGGGGGGTTCCACTGCACCAATTAATGAAGAGACATCTCGACTATTGATACCCTAGATTAGGGCTACACCAGGGTATGCACCGGGTATGCATCCATCGTCATTCTGCGCAGCGTCAGTTTAAGAGGCTTGCGCCGAGCGAGCGAGCGTTGCAAAGCAAATATGTTGCTGCGAAGCTCGGATTGTGGGAGTCCACTGACAAAATTAGAATCCTGAAGAATCTCGAGGTGGGAGAGGGTGAGGAACTTCTCTGCTACTCTGTTGCCATGACAGCCATATTGTCGTTGAATTGGCTCTCATCATGATTCTAAGTGAAGTAGCCCGATACTGGGGGCAGAAGCTGGGCCTTGTGTATGCATTTTTCGAAGCTCGCGATGATGATGCATGGAGTCGAATTCGCTTAGGGTTTCACGGCTCTGTCATGTTTTGAGGTGGTTGTCGTCGATGCTTCGTTCTCAGGGGGTGGATTCCCCTTCTGGGAATGCTGGTTGATTCGTCGCCTTTTGGTCGTCTCTACTCCTTGAGGAGTTTCTGAAGCTTCCGTGCTCTATATGGGTCCCTTGGTTTTCTGAAATCCTTTGGCTCAGTCGGAGAACTTGATCGACTTGTACAATGTGGGAAAATAGAACGAAATTTTCGACAATTGAATTGCACGATTGCTAGTAATTTGAGATGAAGGTCGCGATCATTCAGCTAGCAATGAATAATTGCGAAGGGCGTAGGGTTTTCTCCTTACTTACGAAAGAGGGTGGGGGACTGGTTGTTTATGATTTTGAGCTTAGTGATGATATTGTTATAATATGTGTGGCTTTTTGCAGGTTACGCATTGCCGCAGTTAAGGATGCTGTTCTTGTCGTGGCATCGGCCTTCGCGAAAGGACCAAGCAGCATGTCTAAATAGCTGCAAGTACTCAATTTCATTTTCACTCTGCTTTTGACGTTTGAGTACCATCATCAGCTCAGCACCCTCACCGGGGATTTTTCTTGAGCCTCTTTGCGTAGAAATCACTAGCATGTAGTGGTTGGAATCATTAGTTCCTGGGAATATTCAAACTGCTGCAAGCAGCAAATTGGCTAACTTTTGTTCGACAGAGATGGTGAATTCAACTATGACGCCAAATACAAGGGCGCCACTCAGAAGTCACCATTCTCCGGGGAACGTGCCAACGACCTCAAGAGAGACGGCTTTGTAACCAACCACGCGAGCGTGAAGCTTGGGTCTGGGAAGGATGTCTTCTTGGATGGGAAGAAGGCACTCCAAAACTGGAGGTAAGGCTCCATACCTCACAATTCTCTGTTTCTAATCTCTCTCTTTCTCTTTCAGTCATCTGAAGTGTACTATCACTGGAGCTTCTCGTGATAACATTCGATTTGCCACTTCCTTTCAACAAAATATGGTTATTGATCACATAAGCGCGTGTACGATGCAGGCATTTCCAGCTACCGTGGGCATTTGTGGACGCAAGCACTCCTATCTTGGAAGGAACCAAGGTCTGCGTGTGCGCGCATGAGCTTGTGGCATGGATCATGAACCCGCTTCAAGTCCTGTACGTTGATGCCAAGGAGCCACCGAAATTCCCATCGCGCGTCGATCAAAACAACCATCAGCAACAAGCAGCCTTTGCCTTCGGCAGCGGGACACTTCGTGGTCACATGCTGGTAAATTAATGAACCCTAACTGAAGCAAGTGCAATAAAGTCTTTTTAGTTAATCTGTGAAAGGGTCATAATTCATGCAGTTCACAAAAATCAGATGAGGTGGAACGTACCTGTATTGTTATGTCAGGCCGGAGAAGAGAAGTTTGCAGTGGAGTGGCGGGAGGATGATTCAGTCTGGTACGAGATTTCCTCGTTTGCTAAGCCAGCGAACTTCTTGTCATTTGCCGGGTACCCCGTTGCTCGACTCCAGCAGAAGATGTTCGCCAAGCAATCCTTGGCTGCGATGGAGCGTGCAGTCAGACAGGGTTCAGGTCAGATTTCGGTGAAGGTAGAAGCATGATATTTGTATTTTACTGTGGAAAGTTTAGTGATTATTTGCTACAGATGTGTACAATCCTGCAGTGAGCATCACCAAGGGCACGTAAAAAATCCAGCTTCGGTTGAAGTGTACTTTGTTAACGAGATTTGGTTAAGTGAAAAAAAATCTTGTCACGAACACACAAGAAAAAAACTGGTTATATTGGCTCATTTATTGATTTGTCAGAATTAACAACTACGCTGCGTAACATCTGTCACGGCTACGTCAATGAAGCAAACAAGGATCTGCGAAAGTTCCTCATTGTATGTACAAGAATTTTCATATCGTCTGTGATCTATATTGAACATCACATCTAACTCACTTCTAACAATCACTCTGGCAGTTGATATACATTCTCAAAGCGCATTTTCCGCTCTGCATCACCGGCACCCATGTACCTAGCACTACAAATATCATAAATCACAGGAGTGGCGAGTCTTCCACAGATGTGCCCTTGCGGAAGTCGTGCCTAAAGTTCTGGCACGTACATCGGTAAAAAGCAATCCTACCTGCAATTCAACCCATTGAGCAAGCACAGTTAGTACATAACAACAATCTTCGTCCCTCTCATATAAGCATGGATGTAAGCAAAGAAGAAAGTGAAATCTGCACCTAACTCATAACCCTTGAAAGACTGTAGGTAGTTATAGCATGGACAAGAGTAACCCAGCTTCTAAGTAATCTTTACAATCATCAGTAAGTGCGAACGCATCACCTACACATGAAGTTCACGAACTTCAGAGGAATGCTGTCACTCACACATCTTCGTACCGAAATCCACACCTTATTTCTGTGAAGGTCACCCTTTCTTTCATGTCTATCTAACTACTCTGTCTGTCTTCAGGTCCTCCCCCATCATGCTTGTATTGCCTGCGCTTGGGTTCACATATCACCTGCTTTGAAATCTAAGTTCAGTCTAGCACGCTTCTCAACTCTCATGCAAAATCAATGTATAAATTAAGAGGCTTTCACATGTTTATCTACGTGACGGTAGGCAGGATTGATGCACATTACCACATCCGACTTTTATGAGCTTCTACACACGGTTCGAGGTCAAAACCTACGTTCATTTCAAAATGAAAAACTAAGCCTCCTAGAAGGCAAAATATGGAGGAATCCAGCGTTCAAGGGATGTGCATGCAGATTCCAGTGGGGTTAAACGGTGCTGGATCGGGTTCACAGCATTTTTCAGCCGCTCATTCACGACAGGCAGGACTTCTTCCGGCTTCGAATGAGTTGTTCTGCTCAAAAAGGCAAGAATCTTCTTCGAGTGGAGCAGCATCTGCGTCTCCTCACGGGTTCCTAACTCTTATTTTCAAAAAGCTCGTGCCAAACGTCAGTGAAGACATCCACAATAACGTTGTGGTACTCCGCTTCATTCAGTGATAAATAGCACTGCAGAAGCTCCTCCAAGTCGCCGGTTTCCTTAATGTCTTGGTCAACAATCATCTCGATCATGGACTGGCGGAAATCGTTGTAAGGATCATATGAGCTTTCAACCACAACAGCTACTCTCTCCTTGGCAACACTTGCTGGTGGCTTGGGAGCAGGAGCAGAAGCAGAAGCAGGAGGAGAAGGAAGAGAGGCCACTTGCTTTGATCGTCGCTGCTTGGTTCGTTTTCTCGCTTCATTGAATTTCCTCCTGGCTTGGTTGAAATCTTCATGAAGCTCTGGATCCACCATGCTCTCCTCCCGTTGTGGATGGATGGTTCTCTCTTCGCGTGTATCCTTCGAAATGGGTTTTCTAGACGGAGATGGCCTCTTCGAAACATCCTTGTCCCCAGGGCGTTTCGGCTTTCGTGCTTTGGCAGCCGAGGACGGATTGACTCGCACCGCACGGGAAATCTCTCTCCCTCTGTTATTCCGCTCTTGAGCGGTTTCTCGCAACTTCATTACTTCGGGTGCTGTCTGCACAGTAATGCAATGCAGCTCCCTGCTTTTGTCACTGATGGATCCTGATCTGGTGCTCTTGGTATCGTCAATCTTATGACTGGGGAATTCGACACCCCATGCCTTGGCGGAGGATTCAAGGAAGCTTTCGAATACAGGAGAGCTGTGCAGCTCGCACCTGGGACTCCCGAATATGGAGTTATAGCCAGGATCACTGTCCTCCTCATCTTCGATCAGCCTCTTCAGATTGCGTTGCTCCAAAGCTTGATCAAGTGACGCCAGGAGATTCACTGCATCTGCATCCTTTCGTTTCATATCAATCCTTTGTTGCTCCCTCCACGACTTTGAGCCTTCACGCAGCCGCTCAGCTGCGAGCACCTTCTGTCTCAGCAAGCTCTGACTATCTGATGTGTTGCCATCATCCGCTTCTTCCTTGCAAGCCGCCGGAAGCTCGGACTCCGAAAAGAATGTTGCTGGTTTCCTTTCGGAAGGCCCCAATCCATATTCAGAACCTGCCCAGGGAGCATTCAAGGTGCTGTCGCTGCCAAAAGAGGTTGATCTCCACGGAACAGTATCCAGCTTCGGGTCCTCGATGTGAATCTCGGACTCTTCTTCGGTTTCTGGGTAGATCTTCCGTGGGGAGTCCGTATCGGATCTTGTGGAAAACAGATGACCAAGTGTGGGTTTAGACCCAGGTTTCAACTCTGCCGGAGACTTCACCTTCACTCCTTTCAGCTCTCTGCTTTTAGAGAACTTCTTCTTCTTCTTTACGACCACTTGATTTTTGACAAGTTCCTCATTGTTCAGCTCGCAGCTCCATGGCGTCGGATTAGCTCCCGACCACGACTCCGACTTCTTAGGCCAAGAGTCTTCCCCTCCCGTTCCTTCCTCAATGCAATCCAGCCCTGAATCCGTATCCAACTCAATTAATCCCGATTCTTTCTCCATATCGAGGCTGCTGTGACGAGAACGTCGCCGTGGAGTGCCCCCACAACCCACCAAGAACCAGGCCCTCATCGTCGGAGTAGCCGTCTTTCGGAACTGAATTGAAGGGTTTGACTCTTTCCTGGAAATAGATTCGTCTCCCACCAACTTACACAAATTTCTTATCCCTGAGAAGAATGTAGATTTGTACAGACACCTGGAAAACATAGACGTCGTAGAGGATGGGGTGTTGGAGACAGAGGTCACCGCAACCGACCTGGTGGTCCCTTCGGGGCGTACGACCATGCCCTTCTTGCTTGGGGTTGAAGACACAGCAACCTCGCTGCCAGCGTGATTCTCAGAGCCTGGACGGGCAGGATCATCACTGTCCACGCCCTGTGGACCCTGAAGAGGGCTGAAAGTACAAATTTCCGATGCCAGTGGACCATGCTTGTAACAGTTCTCCACAGTCTTCTTGGGAAGAAACGGCGCCGAGTCGGGAATGACAGGCTCACTGCTGTCGGTCGATTTCAGGCTCTGCGACCTTCGACGCAAGGACCTCAGCTTGATCAACCAGACGCTGGGTAAGACTGCTGAGAATAGCCTCCCCTTGGGTTTCTCCGCGACCTCCATTGACATGCTGTTCGCTCCCATCGCAACGTATTTCTCTTTGGTAGTATTCATACGATGCAACACACACTACCTCCTGATTACAGAAGTGTTAGCGTCTAGAACAGAATTTAATTCAGGGTGGCCCTCGGGCAGATACATCATGCGTGTTGCAAGATATCAAGCGGTCGGTGTTCCCAGTTAGAAATCCAGTTTACGGAACAGTGTGTCACCACTGTTTCCGGAGTTTACACATGCCAGGGATACAAATGGAACAAATGCTTGGAAGCCCTGTCTGTATAAACAAAAAACTAGCAGAAGGAGAAAGAGTGAGATGACAAGTTGGCGTGACACATTGGAAGAGCTACTCAGCATCGAGAATTGCTTCGTTGCAGCTTGAAGACAGATTTAATGAGAATTTTGCCAATGTGCGTTACACCTGCAATCGAGGAACCCGAGCACATGAGCGCCATTACAAGTTTCAAAGCACTTTAAACAAGGTCATCGACAAGTCATAAAACTCTTGTCTAATGCTGCTGCTGCAAATTATCTTCACGTTCTACGCATTCCCATTTACAAACGACGCCTTCAAGCTAGCTTCAGTTGATGCAACAAGGTCAGTGACATTGGTATTTGGAACCTATAAGTTGTTAAAAAAGTAATCTAAACTTGCACATTGAAATCGCTTCTCACGCCATTTCACTACGATTTCCAGCTCGAGCTTCTTCCTCCCTCACACGATGCATTCCCGGAAATCAATGCCTGAATGCTATCACTAAATGCCCACGAAGTATGGAATAAGCTAATATATCTACCCCAGCACGATCACCAAGTGGACTTAACGCCTGCCACCATTAACTATATCTGCTTGTAACGTGAAGTCAAAATCCAGAACACATTCTCATAGACCGATGAGAGCACGAGCATCTAGCCTTCGACCTCCTCACTCCAACGTGATCCCATGGAGGTCCCCACTCGAGCAGAGACAGACCACAGCCTCGCCCACGAAGCGACGCGTGCAAGGTCCACGTACCATCCAAAAGCACGTCCCTCTACTACCCATTCCCCCGCATAAGCAACCATGAGAGATCCAGAACTCCAAACCCGAAAAACTAAAACACCGTTAAAGCAACGCGTCGCTGACTCTCGATCGCCGCAATTGACGCACGCAAGGCTCTAAAACAAGTCCCAGGGCCGCTCACAGGGGGGATGCCAAGGTAGAGACCAGGATTCCAATTCCAGGGATGGAAAACCGGAAGCTCTAGGCTCTCCTCCCCGCACTCAGTGCTGCAGCGCAAGTGAATCGACACTTCTCATTCAAAAGATTGTGCGCCATAGCGAGCTTGCTAATTTCCGACGGAGATCCTATTTTCAGGGCCCTGCGCGCCATCTTTTGCATGCGCACTAGTCGTGCCGTCACTCCCATGGCGGTCACTCTCCAGTCCTTATCGTGCGTGACGGGCTACCCTTTCATCCTCCCTTCTTCCCGCTTCTCCTCCTCCTCCTCCTCCTCCTCCTCATTGCGCAATTCCCTGCTAATCGACCCCACTTTTGAAACGCCCCCAGTACCAACAATCCCACCAACAGGACCTGAGAGATAAAATTAACTACCAGGTTAGGATAATAACACAGGCCACCACCACGGCCATCTTTTCGCTGCATTGCTGCTGCACCTATGCTGTACAACAACTGCTGATGCAATCGACGCACCCGATCGATTTTATTAGGCTCCATTACATGATCGCCTTCTGGCCGATTGCCGTCCGCATCCTCGTGTCATGTGCTTGCTGTTGATTCTATGAGCCTGGGCCATATTTGTACCCTCTCGAAGAGTATCGCAGCTCAGGCTTTCTCATGGATCGGAACCCCCTCAGCGAGAGCGAGAATTATCATTTGGCGATCGATACAATCTGAACCCAGCAGCAGCAGCTGCGACGTCGCGGCAGCTTGATCTATTACCTCCCCCATCGCCGAATTCCAGGCTAGGCTCTCGGCGATTCTCTCGTCGCGGCGGTGTACCCCCCTAACGATGTCGGTTATAGGTCCCATTTACCTATCGCCGTGCCTGGGTGCGTACGCTTATAGGCGTACTCCTTATCTGGGTTCCGTATATACACACATATATTATAACTCCAAATCATGTTTTCAACTATGCTGCACGTTATTATCTACTTTTAAAATCATTTACCGTTGAGAAACTAACATATTTCAAGAACATCATCTAAACACTATAATATACAGAAATAAAAGAATTTATCATGGAACTAAGTAGATAATATATACATATATACTTTAATTATACCAATTTACTTTTTATTATTTTACTTAAATTTCTTTGAGAAGTAATAATTTTTCAATTTGAATCATTAAACATTATACTAGTTTAAAAAATTCTATAATATACTAGCGTATTCACAAAATTATTCAGATATTAATAAAATATGTCATAAAGCATCAATACAACTACATAATTACCATAAAATTTTAAGTTATTCTTATTAATGAGATACTAAATTTTTAAATAAAAATTATAATAAAAATAAAAAATAAAATTATATTCTATGTTCATAATACGTATATATAAATTTACATATATATTCATTTCAATGTCTCAAACTTTGTTTGAATGAAGTGAAATAACCAAAAAAAATAGATTGATAAAATCATATGACATACATTATTACATTCTCATTTTTCCAAAAAAAGGATATATTTAAAGTTAAATAAATGATGCTCATGCTAAATTATTTGATCCTACATGTAATACCAATATTTGTTATTTATTGCCTTTTTACCATAAAATAATAAAATATAAATGCATGTAGTTATTCATAGATATTATTGTAATGTTAATAATTGACACAATGTGCAAAGTATATTTCACAACCAAATAAAGTATTTAATGATACAGCCAAAATATGATTTCAATACATTACTATATTACAATAATTATTTGATTTAATATGATTAAATTCTTGTTTCACAGGTAGTATCAGAAAAAAAAACAATTTGACAACTACTTTTCATCTTTGTATTAAAAATATTATTTAAAATATGAAAAACATAGATTGCAATAATAGGAAGATTGGAATATATAAATTTTTAAATTGCTTAATCTTATCAATAAAATTTTAAAAACAATAACAATATAAGTTGTTACTAACTAATGTAATTATACAAAACTTCTTTTTGTAAAACAATGCATATATACTATTGTGTAACTTAGTTTGTTTTGTTTTGTTTTGCTTTGTTTTTTTTGTTTTTTTTTTACTTTTTCCTTATTTTCAAATATAAAAAATAAATTATTTTCTCATATTTCAATGTATTTTCCATAAAAGCTCACTGTATTTTTTTTAAAGATTTTGTGTTACGATAAATATATATATATATATATATATATATATATACATATACATTTATTTATTTATTTATTTTCTTATTTATTTATATTTTTAATTTCCAATACTCTAAGAAATAAAGCTTGTAGCAAAGTTACTTTGTTTATAGATATAACTAAGAACAATTTTCAATAGAATGTTGTACAACATTTTCTTAAATCGTAGGTTGGATTATTAATAAAAACTTCAAAAATTTAAGAATAAATTATCATCATCACAAACATTAAATTTTATCATCTTAAATATTCAAGCATATATAAATAATATTTTATTTTTAAATATTATATTAAAAATAAAATAAAATAAAATAAAATATACAAATACTCATTAAATTTACCTATTCATGATTAAAAAATTTTGAAAATAAATAAAATTATATAAGGTAATCTTTTTTTAATGATATAATGTAATTCAAATAAAACTAAGACTAGAACTTGTGTTAATTTTCTATCTGCATATTACAAATCAATACTAATGATTATAAAAGAATAATTCAAATAGGATACATTGATAGCATTTACAAGCCCTCAATTAATTTACAAACTACAGCAAGCTAACATAGTTTTAGCTGTATTCGGTTATCATTAAAAATATATATATATATATACAAAAGTGAATATATCAAGAATTCAATGCAATTTATTCATACAAAAATTAGATTTTCTATGTGTATTAAACAAGAAAATACATGGTAAATAATAAATTGAGGTTCTATATATATATATATATATATATATATATGTATGTATTTATTTATATCTTTAAATCTTGTGTAAAATTTATTCTTTTAATTATTTGGTTGAATGTTATAATTTATGGTACTCAAGAACATAAGGCACATTATTAATTGTTGAAAATTGAAAGTCAAAGGCTTTAATAATTCCATACAAATTAATTGTCATTAAATTCTAATAGGTACACACATATGTAAGTATGTTAGTGTATATATATATATATATATATAGAAAAAAATACTGAATTTTTGTCAGAAATTATGTTAAGTACTATATATTCTTTTTTAAGAACAACACGTGTTACAATTAATAATTATTTCAATAATTTCATACTAAAAAAATTCAATGGACTTCTCTGTGAACATGTTTAAGATGAATGGTGTGAAAATGGCGGATTTGCTATTTTTATAATTGAATCAACCAATATTGAACTATGTACAACTGCAACAAACAACAAATCTATCTACAAAGACACATTAAGCCATTGCTTTGCATAAAAGCAAGTAAACACTTAAGAACCATTGCAATGCACAAGGTTTTAGTAAAAATCTGACAAAACACAATGAACCCATATGCAAAATCATATCTTTCACAATAAAGATTTTATCATTATTGTCATCAATATTGCTGTTCCTATAAAAGAACCAGGAATGCAAGTGCAAAATAAAAGCAATAACCTCCTCAATATGAACAACCACAAGGATGTGGACCAAGGCGAGTAGACCAAGTCTAATAAACACACAAGCCCAAGTATAGAACCCTAAGTAACAGGCTAGGGGCCTTTGTGGTGCATTGTATAGTTGAGATACATGAACAAGCCAGTGATGGTGTTGTAAATGAGGCACTTTTTGCTGCAGAACTTACGCTTTTCTACTCACACACAACCTCAAAAAAACACAGAAAAACATTCCAAACTTGCAGTGAAGCACAAAGCCAACAAATGCCAAAAGAGAACCCATAATAACAAGGAGTTTCAGAAGTAGAATAGGTTCAGTAACTGACTATGATGTGGCCTGCTGGTGAGATTTAGATCTAGCTTTTGGAACTGTTGTGACAAGTTCATGCCACTAGTTGGACCTCCTCTCAGACATTGCTTCCTTGCTCAAATTCACACCTTGTTGGAACTGCTATCAGTGAGCTTTTATTATTCTTCACTCATTATTGGATATAGTGAAAAGTTTCTCCAAAGAAGCATAGTGTGCCTGTGCTCTGAGCTACAGCAGAAGCTAGGAGTGATTGGAAGTTATTTACTCCATAATTGTGTGCTTTTGTATACAACTTTGATTGTGCAACAAAGATAAATAAAGTAGTAGCTGGGAGGGCCAATCTCCCCGCTCTGACTTGACTGTTGTGGTACTCTCATGGCTGCATGATAAAAGCCAACCTCCAACAAACCCAAAAAATGATGTTGAAGAAGCAAACAATATATTCAAGAACATGTTGTGTATGAGTATGTAGCATGTCTCTGTCTTCTTCAATACAGCAACCCTGATCGAACGTTTAGGCAACTTCTTTAAAGTGTATGCACAGTGTCTTGCATGTCCAGTTGTGCTAGTGCATATGATCTTTGCTTCTCCATTGATGGCGCTTTTTGGGATCTGTGAAGCAATGGATGTGGTCATAGTTAGGGTGGATTGAGAAGAGCAGCCACTTTCTTTGGAAGTGATAATCTGCACCAACAATACTCCTCAAATCTACTTGTCTGTGATGCTCAGAGTTTTAGTCCCTTGGCCTATTCCAAGCTAATCATTGTTGACATAGTAGTTAATGAATCAACCAAAGTTTTAGTAGAACTAGTGCTACTTTAGCACAACAATTGGACCCTAGATGATCATCTGAAAGTGGATGGATTGTGGCTAAAGCAGCAGTAGATACTACTGCTACCCAAGAGAATCTTTTGAGTAACAACAACCAGCATCCAAGAGAAGAAGCAATCTGGACTGTTACATAAGACAGAACAGAGTAGTGATAAGATGTTTTTTTATTTTTTATTTTTTTTTGAAATAGAATTGGATACTTTTTTTTTATCAGTGCATTATTGAGAAATGTCAAAAAAAACCTTGAGCATAGGAAACAAGGACCAGACAACCTCTCTCACATGTTTTATTAGCTACTAAATCTCTAAATGCAGGTGCAATGTCTGTACCATTACATAATGTAAAGGTTGGCATTAAGATGCTGCTAGGCACTGGCCCTAGCATCATAGCACAACAATTGATGCTTCACTAAACATGATTGATTGGGCGTTAGTTTCATAGTGTTGTATAAATTTGGCATGGATCCAGGCAACTCACATTGAGGCAAAAAAGTTGGTGCATTGTGAAGAACTTCTATTCTTTTTCAAACTGGATGTAGTGAAGTTCATCAATGCAGAGTTTAGAGTATTCACAGTTTTGCAACCGTAATTCATGGGGCTTCTAGCCAACCTTCTCAATTCCATTCCTTTCATGCGAACTAAGTTCTTGGAACAAAATGGATCAAATTTTAGGGTTGTGCAATATGTCTGACCACAAATAAAAACAATCGTTTAGGCTCACATTCTAAAACAATTTCACTACATGTTGGCTTCTGAAAAGATTTTGCACCATGCAGTCATTCTTGAGATATTTGGCTACGAACAGCAGAGAGATTTATTTACCACAAAGACCAGGAGGCAACTCAATCACACTGTCAACTTCGAAGTAAAGCCTGAGCTAGTCCTTGATTAGATCTTTACTTGGATTTAGATTCCGACTTCAGTGAAGCAAAAGCACAGTGCAGTTGTTAAACATGTCTCTACAAAATACAGTACCTGTAGTTAGAAACGGATTTTAGGTTTGTTGCAAACATGGTTACTTCACAAAATATAGCTTTCTCTCCTGGTCTTCACTGATGCTAGATTTGACAAAACTGGATATGCTGAGCAAGTTACAAACATTCCTGCACAAAAACATGATTTTGCCTTCCTTGTTCACATGAATAGAACCATCCTTCAATGAGAGTTAATGCAAGAATCTATTACATTATCTCACGATGACCAAACTTAGTGCTTAAGTGAAAGCAAGTAAAAGCACAGAGTGTGATAGCACTTTGCTTGAATGACTACAAACCATGGGTCAATGAACAAACATTGTTATTGTAGAGATGAAATTTTATAAGTTATTTTTTAATTCAATGTGTTATAGATAGAATTGTATTCATAATCTTATTAGTAAATGGTGTTATTATTTGGCTCCTATACCAAATAATATTGCAACTAATTGTCAAGATGTTCTATTTCTATAACATCCAAAAATGTACAATGCCATAGAGACTTTAAATTTGAGTAGTCCTTGTTCAATATTTCTACAAGTATTTTAAAAATTTACGTGGTTCTTAATAAGATTCAAAATTCAAGGAAAAAAATTCAACAACATTCATAATTGTTTTTAAAATGTTTCTTCTAATTAATAATTTAGTATTATTAAAATAATAGTGTTTTTGGAGATAAATTATTGGTGCAATATACCTTGTAATATAAATAGCTAAATCTACTTCACAAACTTGTATAGGTTTTTTTAATTCTTTAAGATCTAATTTATTTTTAAATTTGAGCTTTAAAATCCAAAATATCTAATTTTTTTATTATTAACCATATCATTGTTATTTTTATTTAATGAAGAATATAAAATATTAATGTTATAAGTTAAAAGAAGAAAAATCTCCATATTGAATGCATTTTAAATCAATTGCAATATTATAACAAAATGGCTCTTATAATAAGATAACTTATTGGAATATTGTATAAACAAACAAATCATTGTAGAAAAAAAATGCATTATTAAAGTATAAAAATATAAAATATAAATTTTGAATGAATTATATGTATACATTTATATATATTTATATAGTATGTATGAGGTATGTACAGTGATTTTATACAAAACCATAATATAATAAAGAAAAATTTAAATAGGATCTTAAAAAACTTTCTTGCCAAACTTATCATAAATTAAGAATTATATTAGATTCAACATTATTTTTTAATTGCAACTTGACATAATTTGTAATTTTGCTTACTTTTCTTCTCAAAAACTTCTAATACAGAACAAATAACTTATAATTAGTATATAAACCATATTTTTATATAAAAAAAAAAAAAAATACAAAATACAAAATTTCTATATATATAGTAATATTTTAATTTGCTCAATTGTAATTTGATTAACATTGTAAAACACTAGAATCAAACAATCACAATCAAGACTTCTACTTAGTTCTAATTTTTTAAATCTAATTTTTTAGAAATACAATTAAATATTTATAATTCAATTTAATATTAAAAAATAATAAAACAATAAAATTTCAATACTAAAAATAGAAAAGAAAATACATGTTTTTAATTTAGTAATAGGCATATTTTGGAATTTGCATTTATTTATTTTAAAGTTAACAATGATATATTTTTAATCATTTAATAGAAAATTTAATATATGATTGCAAAATTGGTTTAAAATTAGAGAGAATATGATGTGAAATGATACATCACTGGAAAGAATGTTAAATTTGATTATATATATATATATATATATATATATATATATATACTTAAAGTAATTTGAATGTTACTCAAATGCCAGCTTTGCGAATTAAATATATAAAAATAAAGAAAAAGAAAAAACACATTTGGCTTGCAACAACATCGTCAAAATTAAATGCGAGCAACATACTAATGTAATAAACAAAAACAAAAATAAAGAAAACGCATTGGTGAAACCTGTCATAAAAACTGTGATCAGGTTTTTAGGGTTTAGGGTTCAGATAAAGTGAAATGTTTTAATGCAGCCAGGTAAGATATTTCCAACAAGTGTGAATGCGATCAAACTATCTTCTGCGTGGAGTTGGATGAATGAAAAATATGGATGAGGTCGGCTACGCAAGGGATAAACGAATGAATAAGGGGTTGACGAATGGATGAGAGTGCGGCAAAGAAGCCTGGATGCCCTAAACTCGCAGAAGAAGCAGCGGGAGAGTGCCGAGACGGGGGGGCGGGGGAGTGTTTGCCGTGAAACCCTAGAGCGATCCCTCTCTTCCTCAAGCACTCGGTGCTCCTTTGTCATTTTCAGCTTCGTTTCTCGGTACCCATTTGATTTCTCAGTCCTCAGAGTTTGCCATTTTCACTTTTCGGACTTACTTTTTTCTGTTTAGAGCAATGGGTTCCGAGGCCGTAAACCCTAAGGCGTACCCTCTCGCGGATGCGCAGCTGACCATTACGATTACGGACATCGTGCAGCAAGCCGCCAACTACAAGCAGCTGAAGAAGGGAGCAAACGAGGCGACGAAGACTCTGAACAGGGGTATTGCTGAGTTCGTGGTGATGGCTGCCGATACTGAGCCGTTGGAGATTCTGCTGCACTTGCCGCTGCTGGCTGAGGACAAGAACGTGCCGTATGTGTTCGTGCCTTCCAAGCAGGCGCTTGGGAGGGCGTGTGGGGTGTCACGGCCCGTGATTGCGTGCTCCGTTACTACTAACGAGGGCAGCCAGCTGAAGTCCCAGATTCAGCAACTGAAGGACGCAATTGAGAAGTTGTTGATATAAGGGGTGGAGGCGGAGGTGCTGTTATTTGAGCGGGAGCGCTGGAGAGACCATAGCCGGATAGAGACATTTGTCTGTGATGCCTGGATAAATTTTGGGTGTTCGTGTGTTGCGAGGGCGAGGTTTTTGCCCTCTATGTGCCAATGCCCTTTGTTGGTTGAATTGGGTGTTTCCTTTTTTGCCTCTAGATTGCTTGCGCTTGGGGAGTTTGCAGACGTTATAGCGACTGCTTTCGTTACTTGTACTTAATGTCGGAATGTTACTCGGTAGGCAGTCGGAGTGATTATGAGCTAGGTTAGGGTGCAGCTGTAGACGAGAAACGATGCAGGCAGAAAGAATGTGATAGCTGGAGGAGTTTCCATGCGATGACCGTCTGGATGTCGTCTGTAAGGAACGTCTACTATTAAATATCATCGACTGCTTTTTGCACTTATGTTTGAGCTACACTTCTCGCTTCGTCTCAATTTATCTGGTTGAGTTTATGAGTGTTGTCACTTTTCTTATCGAACTACTTCCATTCTGTTGCTGCAGAGTCTTTTTACGAATACGTGGGTTGGGAGAGATGACGTGGTTGAATGTTAACCGCTTGCAGAGATATTGTGGTCTTTTGCCTCGTGATGTATCAATATCGTGTTGATATTTGTTTATGTAAATGTTGTAGTTTTGTGTGGTTGAAATTGATGGACCGAAATTATGTGCAAGGTCGGAATTTGAAATCTCTCAGTGGTTTTGATAAACTGTCAAATGTGTTCAGTGTCAGTGGTGTTGTATTATGTCAGTCACTTGGGCTGTACACAAGCATTTGGGCTTGCTAATGCCCAAGTATTAGGTGTTGGACCATAGCTGATGTCAAACACACAGAAAAGTGATACATTGTAAACCAGGTAGACAAGTATTACACAAATACACTCCTTGAATACTACATAAACAGAAAATTGAAACACTAAAAAAACAAAGCAAGGAAACAAATTTTTCAAATGGTTAGATGTGTTCCTGCCGTGAGATTTTTCTTTTGAATAGAAGTGAACTGCGCAAAAAAAACACATAGTGAATGAATGATAGGCATTTTATGATGTACTTCCATCCTTTGAGTATCACAATATATTCGCACATATGAAAATTACTCAAAATTTTAAAAATATGATTTTAAATCTTGTCTTAATGTATGTTTATCAAAAAAAAACTTATCTTGCTATTTGGGAGATAAGCTTTTAAAAAGCCAAGATGTTTTAAAAGACATAAACAGACCGAATCATAGTTGTTTTAATTTTATTTTTGGATGTATTTGACATATGACTAACATATATAATTTTTTACACTTAGTTTATAAATTATAACATTATAAGCTTTTTCTGTAGCAAATAAGACCATCTATATATATTGAATTAATTTAATTTTTTAAAATATAATACACAAATATATTTGTATAAATAAAATATCAAAAAATATTAATTTTTTAGTTTTGCATCATGTGTTATTAAAATTTTTTCTTATTTAGGTATCTATTTCATCATAATGTTTAAAAGAATTTTGTGTAAAAATATATTTTGATTATAATATCTATGATATCAAAAACACAACTTCATGTTTAAAATAAAAATCAAACAATACATACAAAATACAATTAGAACAATAAAATATATATATATATATATATATATATATATATATCAACTCATGCAAGATTATCAAACAACTATACCAATACTCAAAAGTCTTCTAAAGCACAAAATAAACAAGACAAAAAGAAATCAATAACTAAGAGCAACAATAACCTTAATTTTACTTTTCTTCAAAATAATTAAAAAAAATCAAATATATAATCAAATCTTCTAATAGTTTTCTAATTTTAAAAACTATGTACAAACTTGGTCTTTAAACTACATGTTTTCTTGTTTTTAATTTAAACTTTAACCAATGTCTTTAAACATGATATGCAAGTTATTTATGATTATATATATATATATATATACACACACACTCACATATATAGACATAAAAATAGAATAACTTACTTTTTCATATTCAACTATAATATGTGTGTACAACATTTATAGTCATTATATAAATCAATTAGATGTATATAATAAAATTTATTTATTTTGATGGAAACATTAAATAATTTTGGCAGTAATTTTTTTGAGTTTATTCATATTATTATTATGATAATGTACCAATAAACTTATCGTGTTGGTATTTATTATGAAACTATAAACATGTCCTTCAAATCCATTATTATCAATTTTCAAAAGTACTCCTAAGTTTCAAGGCAAATTTTGAAAAGATTTGCTTTAAAAAAAATTAATATAAGAGTTAAAAACTTTAGTTAAATTATTTTATTTCTAAACAAATACAAATCTTAACAACGTTTTGGATAATATTTTAAACTGTAAATATAAATTACAAGAAATTATCTTGAATTTTAAATAGTAGTAATATAATCTCAAACTAAACTAATCAATTTGAAAAAAAATACATATTCTTGAACTTTAATTTTATCAAAAAAATATAATCAGAACTTCATACCTAGTAAGTACAAAATTAACAAACTATTTATAGTTGTTTTTTTATTAAAAACTTTTACAGTTTGTACTATCTTTTACAATCTTCTTGCAAAATCAAACTTTTACAGATTACATGAAATACCCCCTTTTATAAAATCTAAAAATTATTATTCAAGAATAAACTTATTTTATATAAAACTTATACATCATTTATTAAAAATACAAAAAATAAGAGAAGAAAATCTTAAAAAATAAAAATAAAATTGAAGTATTTGAAGTATAACAATTTAGATAGCATTAATTACAATCACATTTTTAAATGAAATAAATTGTTCAAATTAATTACATTAAGATAAGTTACAAGATAAATTGTTGTTGTCGTTGTCTCCCTAGCTTCCATTTTTGATCTTTGATTCAAATCTCACCTAGAAACACAAGTTGTGAATGAGCTTGTGAGCCTGGGTGGAGAGCTTTGTATTGTTGAAACAAGTTTGCAACCTTGGATAGGAGCAACCCAAACCACTCATTCCATTGTAAATAAATCAACACATGGCATTTAAGTGATTGCTTAATTGGCTTTATGTTTTTGCTCAAAAATAATCTCTCTATATTACTCTATTTACTTTCAAGGGGTAGAAACCAAGCTCCATGTACATGTGAGAATCTACGTAGTATCAAAGAGGAAAGTTCATAGTATACTCTTTAAACATGCAACGATCATGGGTACAAGAAAATCTTAACACAACGTGCAAATTTTTCAATGGGACAAGGAATTGCAAGTAGCTAAACCAATCTAAGGTCAAATTTTGAGCAAAGCTCACTTCTTAATGTATATAACATGACCACTTTGGCTAGCAACAATGCTTTGTGCTCTATCAATTAATGTCATGGACATACACATGTAACCCAATAATTCCATGTATAAATAGGTAGAAGTAAGTAAAAGTAAGTAAAAGTAAATTAATTCTATAGTATTTGATATAAAAGCTTCTTAGAAGCTTCATAGATGCTGCTTTGACTTTACAGGTGTCTTAAATTGACTTTTTGGATTAGAAACGTTGTCAACAAGTTGGCCATGTATCACATATGTTGTTAGCTTGAAGACCAAGCTAACTATGTGGCCCACACGTAGAAAAACTTTCCTTGTAAGTCAAGGCATGTGTCCTACAAAGTCAACACATATTGGAAGTGCTATAAACATCTCCACGTAGCCCCTAATTAGATAGTATATATAGAGACAAGAGTGAAGCCTTCTTCACTCTTGTCAACTCCATTCTTGCTTCTAGTCTAATTTCAAGGGTCTCTAGTTTTCTTGTATTTTGGCAATAGCCATTCTAGTTTCTTTTTTAATATATATATATATCAAGTTATTTCAATTTTGTCATCTTTCTTTGAAAGAAGTCTCACTTATTTATTTGTCTTTATTATGTTCTTGTCCTTGACAGATTGATAAGAGTACACATACAATATCAGAGCTTTGTCTAATCTTGAGTAAGAGTCGATTACTCCTTTTTCTTGATAAGACACAAGCATATTAGAAGTTACAGAATACCCTCTTCTAAACTGATATTGTCTTTAGTATTTTCTTTGTTCTCAAGTCCTCTCTTCTATTTGTCTTGAGCGATATTAGACATCTTCTCTTTTCTAAGTGTTATCATAGCAAAACTTGCTAAAATGAAGAGTGCAATGGCACAAATACAAGAGCAATTGAGGGAGTTAATGCTTGCGATGCATCAACTCAATTTACCACCATAAAGAGCAACAAGATTGACAAAAAGTGAAGATATAGAAATGATTAGAGCTGCTTCAACATCTGCACCAAATCATGTCTTTTTTCCTATGGTGGAACGTCCTTCCAATATAAGAGAACCAAGAATTATCCTATTCGAGAAGTTTGATGGTACCAGATCCAAGTTTCAAGGATTTATCAATCAAGTGCAACTTGTGATTGAACTTCAATCCCATAGCTATCCAACTCCAAGATTGCAAGTTAGATTCATTAGTACGCTTCTTTCAAGTTCAACACTATCGTGGTTTTCATCTTTTCTTGAACGACGAGATCCAATATTGGATAATCTAGAGGCTTTTCTAGCAGAGTTTTGATCTATGCATGGAAAACATGATGCATTTTGTGTTGCAACCAATAAGATCCGTATTTTAGAATAAGACAATCAATCAGTAATGTTGTATGTTTTACAATTTTGACAACTTGCAACTGATATCAAGTAGAATGATGCTGCACTTATTAGCTAATTTATCTACGGATTACAATATGAGGTAAAAAAATTAATGCTCAACTTACTTAATCCTCAAACATTGAGTCAAGTAATTGATTTTGCTGTGAAGTACAACAATAGCCTTTTTGAATTTCGATCTAAGAATCGTACAAGTGGACCTCAACGTAACTATAGTTCAATAGTAACATCAACATCTCTTCAACACATACATTCGAAAGTAGAGGATATGTAAATTGATGAAGTACGTTTCAAACTTCTTACTGAGCAAGAAAAGTCTCATTGTCGTTAAGAAGGATTGTGCTTATATTGTGGAGAATCTAAACACATTGCTCAACATTGCTCAAAGAAGCGACACAACCATAAAATGAGGAGTACGACGATCAAAGAAGATAGCATGTCGAAAAACAAATTTGTCCAGCTATAATAGGGACTGTGCAGTTGGAACCTTACACAACGCCTAGTAAAGGTCCTATCCTCTCCTCAGAACCTTCTCCATGTTTTACAATAAATATTATTTTAGGACCTAAACATCTCAAAGCCTCTGCCTATTAGATTTAGGAGCCTCAGCTTGTTTCTTAGATGAAAAATATGCTAAAAGACATAGCATATTTTTAGTAAAGAAAACTAAATCTGTTCATGTAGAAGTCATGGATGGTCGTCCGTTGTCTTCAAGAGATGTTACTCATGAAACTCTTCCTATAGAAA